CGTCTGTCTGTCTGTCCGTCTGTCTGTCTGTAAACAATTTTTCTCCTCCTACAGTTTTGGTCTAATTTCAATATAACTTGGCACACAAGTAGAGTGAAACTAAGATACATAATTCTGTGTATCGGTTTTTGATTTCGATGAACGGTGTTGCCGTGGTTCTAAAAATAGAAATTTCTGTGAAATTCTTTCAAAATGCTACTCCTCCTACAGTTTTGGTGATTTCAGTATAACTTGGCAAACATTAAGATACATAATTCTGTGTATCGATTTTTGATATCGATGAACGATGTTGCCGTGGTTACTAAAAATAGAAATTTCTGTGAAATTCTTTCAAAATGCTACTCCTCCTACAGTTTTGATTTGATTTCAGTATAAGTTTAGAATACACTAAGATACATAATTCAGATTATTGGTTTTTGATTTCAATGAACCGTGTTGCCGTGGTTACTAAAAATAGAAATTTCTGTAAAATTGTTTCTAAATGCTTCTCCTCCTACAGTTTTGGTCTGATTTCAATATAACTTGGCACACAAGTAGACTGCACTAACATACATAATTCTTTGCATCGGTTTTTGTGAAATGAACGGTGTTGCCGTGGTTACAAATTCTTTCAAAATGCTACTCCTCCTACAGTTTTGGTCTGATTTCAGTATTATTGCAAACAAGTAGAATACACTAAGATACATAATTCTGTTTATCGGTTTTTGATTTCGATGAATTTCACTAAAAATAGAAATATCTGTATTGTTTCAAAATTCTGATTTCAATATAACTTGGCAAACAAGTAGAATACAATAAGATACATAATTCTGTATATTCTGTAAGTATAAAATCACTTTCTCTTCCTTTGTATTAATCAAATGTATAGCTTGTCAATACTATTTTTTTTTTTACTATAATACTTTTTTTTCGAAACAACTGAAATTGTACATTACTAAACAAAGCTGGTATAAACCTTTCTTAATTTTTCGAATCATCTGTTGGCAAAAAAGTGTTGTAAAATTCCAGCATCCTATATCAAACTCAATTCAACCATACACCTTTAATGGAGCATTCGATCAATTTGTATCAAATCACTTAATTGAAGGCTTGCGTTTGAATGTTAAAACAGATCGTACATTACAACATTGTGTTTTATCCTTTTAACACTCACATTTCTCTATCTTCTGCTAAGCAATGTTAAAATAAACTTAATTGAGCATAGAACGTTTTTCAATATCGTTTTATAGTTAACGTAAGTAGTGCCTTCTCGTCCTCTTCCGAATCTTCGCCATATCAGTTTACATGTAACTACTAGTTATATTATGTACACTATCGAACTAGTCCTCTTTGAATTACTTTTATAAGAACTTCTCATTTCATTTCTCTAAATTTAGACGTTAATAATGGAATTTTAACCAAAATATCAAAACCGTAAAATTAATTTAAGTGGCGTAATAGCGTAATTTTGTGGTGAAAAGCGGAAGAATTATGCCCAAAAGCGGAAGGGTAGGCAGGTCTGAATTTATTACCCTGGGGTCAGGGGTCCTAGTGCTATAGCGGGGCTAAATAAGTATATAGTGAAAATGCATTATTTCATTGAAAATCTTCTTCTCTGCTCCTAGGTATTAAATAAACTAACTTAGTACATAGTTATGATGAGCAAGAGTGACTCTACCACACTTGTGAATTTTATGGTCCAGGGTCAGGGGTTATGGTGGGGCGGGGAACTATTGATTACATAGTGAAAATACATGAATTCTTTGAAAATCTTCTCTGCTCCTGGGTATTAAATAAACTAACTAAGTGCATAGTTATGATGAGCAAGAGTGCCTCTACCAAAATTGTGAATTTTCTGGCCCCAGGGTCGGGGTTCTGGTGTTAGGGCGGGCTCTATTGATTATATAGTGAAAATACATTAGATCTTTGAAAATTTTCCTCTCTGCTCCTGGGTATTAAGCAGATAAACTACCTATATAGTTATGATGAGCAAGGGTACTAATCTTCCAGAATTGTGAATTTCAAGGCCCCAGGATCAGGGGTACCATAGAGAGGGGAGGGGTTGGCTGTACTTATATACTAAAAATGAATGGTTTGAAATCTGCTCCTTGGTGTTAATCAAATATTTTTTTTTGAAAAGCAAGGATGCCTTTTCAAAAATTGTGCAATGTGTGGATCTAGGCCTAAGGGTCAGGGTAGGGGCACCACTGATTATAGCTGAATATTACTGATTAGTTGAAATGCATTTTTTGTTCCCTTACCCTGCGTATGTGTATTAAGTAACCAAACTAAGCAACTGCTAAGGGTATAGTTATGATGCTCAATGGTGTCTCTTTCACAATTTTGAATGCCATAGCATCTGGCTTAAAACGTGAATCAAATTTAATCACTGGAAATGCTCAGGTGATCTATAAGGCCCATGGGCCTCTTGTCTTAAAGTCTTTTCCATGCAGCATTTTAATATTTTGTTTGTTAATTTCCTATCGTCTGACCAATGCTGCAATACACATTCCATTTTTTCTAACAGACCCCACAACTAAATGTTCTCTCTAAATCAATAGAAAAGTCTTGTGACCGTAGTGGATACCAAAGGCGTATTAAATAATATTTTAAAATGTTTAAATTCAATGTTTTCATAATGATTTACAGTTGAATAAGGGAATCACTGTCTAGTTAGTATAGTATACCAGGGCATCAACGATAGTGGGAACATGGGATAATTTGCATAACAAGCGAAGCCCGTTTTGCATAAATTATCCCATGTTTCCCACTATCTTTGATGTCCCTGACATACTATATTACATGTAACTAGAGACTTATTCCTTATATTTACATTTCATTAGAAAATAAAATTGTAGATTTAAAGTTTTAAAATGTAGACATAGATTTAAATTACACGAGGACTCCCATGCCAATTTTAGTAGTCCTTACCCACTGACGTAAAACACAAAGGCAGCCTCACGAGATTTACATGCATATATGGCCTCCTTACCGTCAGGCACAGAGACAGATGTGCACGAGATTTGCATGTAGGCCTCCTTAGCTCCTGACCTATTGACCTGCCTCATTTACATTCCGGTAGAATTATCAAGATATCAACTCCGCTAACTTTCAAAGAGTTATCACAGAGAAAAAAAAATAGAAATGGAAATATTGTACGATAAGATTAGATATGATTGATGAACATAAAACACAATGGTATCTTTCTAACGAAATTTTAAAAGAGAATGTTAAAATGTATGTTATTTGTTATTCATTTTTATATTTGGTAATATACAAAACCAAAAGCTGAAAAATTTATTAATCCTTCTATTAAAGAAAACTCTCTATTCTTTACCTGAAAGTTTCATCGAATTTCACTTATTTACTTGTTTTTGTTGATTTCGTTTTTTTTTTTAAATCGATCTTATATAAGGATGGAATGATCGTCAACAAACTAAGCTATCGCTAATGATTTATTTTTTTATCCTGTTTACTTTCTCTAAATGAATAATTACATTACATCTTAATACGCCAGTTTCGAGATTGTAACTCTCCTACGATAGAGGCGCAAAAAGTATCCATTTCGGCAGGGATGTGGAACAGGTTGTTTCTGTATACAAACGTGCATAAATAAATGAAAGATATTTATGGCTTTTCAAATTTATTAAATGTTATAAAAAGATTATGATATTAAGCAGTGATGCATTTGATGATTTTATCAAGATCAACTATGCATAAGTTTGATTTACTAAATTTGATGGAAATAAAATACATTTTTAAAAAAAAATCAACTATGCATATTTACAAATCTACTTTAAATTATAGGTACTTGAAAACGAAAGAAACGTCGTAGTCTTAATAAAAAGTAACCGATTTTCTTGATTGCACAAACTTTTTAAAAAAAAAAGTTTGTTGTTTCTTTTTTTTTTTTGAAGTTATAATAGGGAAAAGAATCAATTTTTCATTTAGATCGCCTAGGTACAATGATCAGATGCATGTGTACCGTTTTTACTAGAGGTCCAAATTTCTTCCCTCGTCTGATTAGTCTCACATCCACCGACATTTTCTTTTTTGTTACGATTTTTTTTTTTTTTGCTTTAAAAAATGACGTCTTTTTATTAATTCGGTATTCTCGAAATGTAGAGTGCATCCTGACAATCATGTAGTAATGATAAACCAGTATATCGATGATACAATGTATCCAATATATAAATATCAAATATTTGTCCCACCTGTTTGTTTACGCGGCAACGAAACTACCCTCCTCAACGAAAGAGCGATCCAAGGGAGATAATCTCGAAACTTGCGTATTAAGACCCTTAAGGTTGTACTTTACAACATTTCTAAGAAATAGTTAAAAACATAAGAAAGAGAAAATGTAATAAATGAGGACTATAAACAAGGAGTTCTAAAACTGAAGAGACTTAACAAAATTTTCTGTGTGCTCTTAAATCAAAGTGGGTTCAGAATTATTGTAATCAGAAGATGATTACATAAATCTGTCTGAAGCTGGATTAAAAACTGACAATAAAGTTCTGTGCTATACGTTTTCCATTCTAAATTTATCAAAGCGATTTACAATATATATTTTTTTTAAAGAAAATTCTTAACTATATTTTGTTAATACACTAAGAAAGCAGACAGGTGTCATTAGAACATAAACGAATAAACCAGGCATTATGATTAACCAGGATTGTTTTCTCTAGAAGCTATTTTCATCAGGGCTTGTCTCTTTAAATGATTTCTTGAAAATAAATGTTGTAACAAGAACAATGTACATGTATTTCAAAAATTTGTGTGATGTAATTGTGTATATATGTTTAACTGTGTGAGCTTGTCAAAACTAATGATCTTTTTCAAATGCCTAGAATACTAGTAAGCGGAGAGACAGGCAAGGCCCCTCTCTGATTTCAACATGCTTTGTAAACTTATTGGATGTTTCCATTATTTCATGATTGTACAGCGTTTTGCTTAATATTTAATTGACGTTTAAGGGGTAACTATTTCATTGGTTAAATTCTAAACTTCCCTGTTCAGGTCTGTATATATAAAGATGTGACTAGGTTTAAGAAACGCTATATCTCAGAGACGCTTAGACAACAACAACAACAAAACCGTTAAAACAACAACAAAAAAGTTCAACTATGGCAATGGTGTGGGCAGCATTCTTTTTGGTCGCCATCTTACGTACCAGTTCTCAGTACATTAATGTGAATGAAGACGACGGCTGCCCCGGTAATACAGAGGCTATGGTACAAATTGAAAGACTTCAGACCACACAAAGTAACATCCTAGAATCTGTAGATTCTCTCAGGCAGACGGTGGAGAGACTTGACAAAGAAGTAACCAATATTAATGAAGATGTTCAAATCGTCAAAAAAGGTAAATTTCTCTCTCTCTCTCAATTTTGGTTTGTACATTCATTGATATGATTATTACAATGTCATAATGAATATTTTTACATTCAGGATTAAAGCTCAAAACGAACTGTTGGGATCTCTTTTCTACCGGACACAAACAATCTGAGGAATACCTAATAGAACCCTTTGGCAACGAAAGTCAAGTCAACGTTTTTTGCGACATGGTGACAGAAGGCGGAGGGTGGACAGTAAGATCTCTCTCTCTCTTTCCTTCTCTCTCTCTCTTTCTCTGTTAATTTATAATTTAATATTTAAAGAAATAAATAAATAAGACTAAGATTTGAAGGTTTCTTTCAATTTCTGTTTTATTACCTCCTTGCTGGGTTAAAACTGGCGTGGAATTTACATAAATTAGTATTTAATTTACCCTAAACTTCTATAGCTAAGTCATTCTTATAGTTAACATGTTGAATGAATAAAAGTGTTATAGCATAAATATGATGAAAATCAATATATGTCTTTATTTAATTATAGACATCAATAGCTTAATGAACAGCAGTATGTATGAAACTAACATTACATAAATCATCATAAAAATAAATATCTATCTATCAGACTTCAAAATTATTCGTTTCTGTGTAAATTCATCAAGAAAAAATGATACAAAACAGGCATTCATAATGTAGTAAAAAAAAAGTTTTCATTGTGAATTTATGCATATTAATATGTTTATTAAGAAGTACATATGAATAATACACTTATAAATATGCAATTATTCCATTTAAATCTTTAGGCAATTCAGAAGCGTTCGAGCGGATTAGAGAGCTTCAATCGGACGTGGGCGGAATACAAAAAGGGTTTTGGGAACGTATCTGACTCATACTGGATAGGTGAATATTCCTTGATATTATAGAAACATTTAACAATTGACTATTACTGGATAGGTGAGTACTAGTAATTCTTTATATTATATAACCATCTATTTAAGAACTGAATCTGACTGGATTGGTGAATATTTTCTTGTATTATATAACCATTTATTTAAAAAAACCTTAAATTTATTCTCTGTTGTCTTAGTTACAATACCCTTTCTTATTCTTAAAATAATCCTAATAAAATAAAATTAATATAAAATAAAATTGGATTGCTGACATATATGCGTAAGATCTCTTCAAAAACATTTGAATATATATTAACTAGGGTGACCCTGAAAGTTTATTTTCCTTATCATGTTTATATCTGCTAAATTTACGACAACTGTACAATAATATTTTGCAGGAAATGACGTGATTCATCAATTGACAAAGGGAAATAACTCCTCCCTCTACGTCTCCATAACATTAAAAAATGGCACCACTTTATACGAACTTTACCATGAGTTTTCTGTTTCGGATGAATCGGACAACTACAGGCTCTATCTCGGGGGACCGGCTAGCGGAACCTTGGGTAAGAAATAGATGTTATTTTGAATATCAAGACAGGGAGAGAAAAAGAGATTCCTGATTACCATATATACTCGCCTATAAGTCTATTGCATTTTTTAAAGCTTATTTATTGTATGTTGATTGATTGATTGAATATTGTTTAAAGTCCCTCTCGGGAATTTTTCACTCATATGGAGACGCCACCACTTGCCGGTGGAGAGCTGCAAATTTTAGTCCTATACTCGGCATTCAGGGCCATTGAGCAGGGAGGGATCTTTTTCATGCCAGCACCTACTGCGACATGGGACCTCGGTTTATACGATCTCATCTGAAGGAACGGTATCCACGTACCACAGTGGGATTCGAACCCGCGACGTAAGGATCAACTCCTTACTTCGCAACTCTAGAGCAGACGCTCTAACCACTGCGCCACGCGGACGACGATGTAAACTTATTTAAGAAATCACTGTCTAGTTAGTATAGAATGCCAGGGCATCAACGATAGCGGGAAACATGGAATAATTTGCATAGCGGGCGAAGAGTCATTACAAGTATTACACACAGGCGCCCTTCCTTTAGTGGAACTCGTCAACTCCAGTGAAGAGCCCAATATAGTTCAAACTACCTTGTGTATGACCCTAATTAATATCTGCTTCGCGGATTATAAAGCGTAAACTGACAAAACCAGGTTAAATTCAAATAATTTGGCCAATTAAGAATTAGAGTCGTGACCGAATTTTTAAATACAAGGGGTTTTGGAGAGCTACAATTTTAATCCTACACTCGGCATTCAGGACCATTAAGCAATTAGGGTGTATAGTTAGAAAATGTTGCTAGTAAATGAATTGTTTATTGAAATAGTATTATATTTGTATCGATATCTTTCTATACAGGAGACAGCATGAAAAACCATAATAAGATGCCATTCTCCACACTGGACCGAGATAACGATAACTATTATACTAACTGTGTTGGCGCCCACGGAGGAGGCTGGTGGTTCAACTCCTGTCCTTCCGCCTTCCTTAACGGTCAGTGGTCCTCGGAATCCCGGGTCCGGCCATGGTCTCCTACAGTGACTGATGGTAGAGAGATAAAGGGGACTCTCATGATGATAAAACCCCAGTGATTACGTCACATGAAGTGTTCCTCCTCCTCCTTCTTTAACAGTCTTGGTCCTTGGCTTTCCCGGAGGGTTCGGCCATTACATGGTATCCGTCAGTGATGATTACGTCACCTAACGTGTGTATGACGTGTGGCATTTTGCTTAGCTTGTTTATATAAAATGTTGTCATTGACGTTTCGACATTCAGTCTGTTTGAAGTTTCCTTGAGTTTGTGACGTGTTACATATTCTACTTATCTATGTACATACAAATTCAAAAATAGTATGATAAAGGATGATGTTATTGTTCTAATCATAATGGTTTTAGCGATGTAAAATTACACAGTAAAGATGTTAATGATCATATATTTTTATGACTGTAATAAATGTCTTGACATAGTCCCATAATGTTATGAAGCTACTGTTATAAAGTTACTCTCTTATTACCGGTATTCCTCTTATCTTGGTATCATGTATTGATTTTATTATCTTTATTATTAGGTTTTGTATCTATTACTAATGTTATAAATAAAAAGTAAATGAATATATATGAAACTGCTTTGTTGATTTGTACGATGAAATCTGACTCCGCAATCAAAGTTTTTAAAACGCTGTGGACTAAAGGAAAAAAAAAGAATTGTTTTCAAATTAATTAGTTGTGAACAGGTTCTATTCATATTTTCAGAATATACATAAGATTTTGACAGTTCCCTAAATGTTTACATTTCCATGATTTTTTTTTCTGTATGATTGTTTATTTACAAATTCAAAAACACAGGCCTTTAGATCGCTTAGAAAAAAAATTGAGGTTTTCTAAAAAAAAAATAAAGGTATGGAACTCTTTTGATAAGGGTAGCCTTACTTTCGCCAATAAAATTCTTTTAAATAAAATGCTTTACAATTTTCTTTTTATCTATTCAAAAATAAACAATCTTCATTACTACCAAAGTTCATTCCGTAATTCCTTATATATCTCGAGAATATCTGAAATGCCAATTCCCAAATTGACAATAATTTTTTTACTCGACATCAAAGCTTGGGCTTTCACAGAATTGTAAAGCGGGAACGACGGGACAAATTTTCCTTAATGTAGTCCTCTAACTACAATGAATATTTGCTCATTTGCATTCAAGCTTGTACAAGGTTTTTCTTTAATTTGAACATATGGTGTAACTGCCAAGTTCATAAACAACATTTTAGCGGTCTAATTGTTTTGAAAATCGAAAGGTATATAATGCATTCCGGAAAAAATTCGTTCTACCATGGCTTCATTTACATTCGTAATCAACATGGCGGTAGTTGTTGATGTAGACGTTTTCAAATTACATGAAAGGAATATTATTACGTGACTTAACGTTACAATCTGGAGTAAGAAATCAACTTTAAATTGTTGAAAGATTTTGCAAATACTATGCAACTCTTCGCCGCACTTCAAACATCGTCTGTTTACATGTGAATGGCCAGGGGCCCAAGCTAATGTCGAGTAAAAGTAGGTCATTTTTGAAATTGATTTCAGAATATCTCAAGAAATATATGGAATTTCGGAATGAGCTTTGGTAGAATTGAAGAATGTTTATCTTTGAATAGATTTAAATAGAAAGTAGAATTTTAGAGCATTCGAATAAAAAATATTTTAATAGCGAAATTAGGTATCCAGTGTAAGAGTTCAGTACCTTTATTTTTTTTTTACACACACAATTTTTTTAAGCGATCCAAAGGCCTGTGTTCAAAAACAGTTCTTTTTCTCACGAACTACAATAAATGAGAATGAGTATCTCCAATGTAACGCCACGATTGCGTACTTGACATCAAAACTGTATTGCAAAGTGTTTAGCCTCTAAATGACAGTAAAATGGCATAGTTTGTAGCAATTCATCGCTACAAACAATGTAAATAAAAATACGATTAAGGTGCAGCCTTACAAAAATCAATACTAACCAGAAGTCTCTGTCGAGACTGAAGCTCAACTGGTTTGTACTTTTAACAAAGGAAGAGAAAAGTAGCATTTGGGACTTAAAACTTTACAACAGCAATAAATAGAATTATGATGTTTGATTGAGCTCTTTTTGTGGCAAGATACTGCAATAAGACTACAGTTGTAGGAGTAGCTATTAATAAACTTTTAGAGTATTTTCAATTTTAGTAACCATGGCAACATCATTCCTCGAAATCAAAAATCGATATACAGAATTGTGTATCTTAGTGTAGTCTACTTGTGTGCTAAGTTATATTAAAATCAGACCAAAACTTTAGGAGGAGTAGCATTTTGAAAGTATTTCACAGAAATTTCTATTTCTAGTAACCACGGCAACACCGTTCATCGAAATCAAAAATCGATGTATAGAATTATGTATCTTAATGTAGTCTACTTGTGTGCTAAGTTATATTAAAATCAGACCAGATCTGTAGGAGAAGTAGCATTTTGAAAGTATTTCACAGAAATGTCCATTTTTAGTAACCACGGCAACACCGTTCATCGAAATCAAAAATCGATACACAGTATTATGTATCTTAGTGTAGTCTACTTGTGTGCTCAGTTATATTAAAATCAGACCAAAACTGTAGGAGGAGTAACATTTTGAAAGTATTTCACAGAAATTTCTATTTTTAGTAACCACGGCAACATCGTTATCGAAATCAAAAATCGATAAACAGAATTATGTATCTTAGTGTAGTCTACTTGTGTGCCAAGTTATATTGAAATCAGACCAAAACTGTAGGAGGAGTAGCATTTTGAAAAATTGTTTACCCGTAAAGGTTGGACAGACAGACAGATCGGACGGACGCCGGACGCATTACTATCGCATAAGCTCTTCTGGTCTCTGACCAGTAGAGCTAAAAATATGCACCTGACACAAATTATGCATTTTTTTTATTCAATGACCTTAAACTTGCCCAAATGACCTAGGGTCAAGGTCACGACACCATCTCAATACATAAGCAATTATTATGTAAAAAGAAAACTCAAAAAAAAAAAAATAATGATAATAAAACTAGTGATGTCAAATCAGACGAGTATAAGTAGCCGGTTACTAGTTTAATCTTCCGATCCAGTACCCGGTTACTCGGACGATTTTTTGTAAAAGTGTGCTTACATATACATGTATCTATTATTTGCATAATTCTTTACTCATGATCTGTATTTGTAATACACACACATACTGCATATTTACATCGTTTACAATACGCACAATATCTTCAAAGAATTTCGATTTTATGTAAAAGACAAGAAGCCCACGGGCCTTATAGGTCACCTGAGTATCATGTAACAACTTTCCAACAATTACATTTGGTTCGTGTTTTAATCAGAGGCCATGAAATTCACAATTTTGTAAAAACTTAATCAACCACTGTGGCTCTACTCTACCCCCAGGGGTTATGAATTGAACATTATAATTGAACTTGAATCTTCACTACCCGAGGATGCTTCCAAATAAATATGAAAAATCACTTCTTTGCTGTTCTGGAAAAGAAGAATTTTAAAGATTTGTTTCTATGTAATCCTTCTTAAAAATTTGATTCTCCATTGTGGCCCCATCCTACGTCCGGGGGTCATATTTTGAACAAAGTTGAATCTACACTACCAGAGGATGCTTACATAAAACTATGACCAATCATGGCTATGCTGTTTTTGAGAAGAAAATTTTAAAATATTTTCCTATGTTTCCTTATGTTTAACTTTGATCCCCCATTGTGGCCCCACCCTAACCCTGGGGGTCATGACTTGAACAAACTTGAATATACACTACCGGATCGAGGATTCTTCAATAATTATGAATATGAACAATCATTTCTATGCTGTTCTTGAAAAGAACAGCATTTTTTCCCTATATATTATTATGTTAATATTTGATCCCCCTGTGTGGCCCCATCCTACGCCCGGGGGTCATATTTTGAACGAACTTCAATCTACACTACCAGAGGATGCTTACATATAACTGACCAATAAAGGTATTGCTGTTCTTGAGAAGATATTTAAAGATTTTGCTATTTGGTCCTATACTCGGCACTCCGAGCCATTGAGCAATGTTGGCGGTAAGAAAGGTGTAGATATAGATGAAAATTAAGTGTGAACCCAGGTACACCTAGCTGCAGATCTGTAGCTTTATGGTTATATATATTTGTCTTTGACCATAGACAAAGATATATAACCAAAATGCTACAGATATAGATCTGCAGCTAAGATACCCCCAGATTTTAAATATTGGGAGAAGCGCTCCTTCCCTCTTCTTATATATAATAAATATGACATTTTTAAAACGTCCTTATTTCAGGGAATTTTCATTTCTATGAGGGTATTCAGACACTAGAAAAAACATAAAATACACCATCCTGAAACCAAGCGCGTATAATTGAGCAGGGAAGGATCTTTTACGTGCCATCCCCTACTGCAACATGCGACCTCGGTTTATACGGTCTCATCCGAAGGACCGGTCTCCACGTCCAAGAGTGGGATTCAAACCCGCGACGTAAGGATCAACTCCTTACTTCGCGGCTCTAGAACTGATGGTCTAACAACTGCGCCACGCTTGCGACCATCATAGTGTGGTGGTCCTGGAGGTACTTGGCACGGATTGCCCTGCTGTCTCCGATCACATGGTACACGTCACAGCACCTGTTGTGAGGTGTATGTTTATCCTCTCTTATCAGTTACATGCGGCAGAGTACGGACGTGTCTTTGTCAGCTCCGTTATTGTTACATATATAGTATATTGCGGGCAATAAGAAATATAGTGCTATTTTACAATAGTGTTTTCTCTGTTCCGCAATCACTATATATAGGGTAATTATGGAGAAACACTCGTGCTATTACACAATAGTGTTTTCTCTGTTCCGCCATCACTAGGGTAATATTGAAACTATAGAGAAACACATAATTAGAGCTGTTATTGTTTGGGCAGCGGGTGCAAGCCTAGCACGTGTTAGCCAATGCCTTCGCAATCTTTTTTACTTCTTTTATATCTAAAGCGGATTAGCCGTAAGATATTTTTCATGTGTTTTTAATTTTATCTCGCAGTCTCGTGTTTTATTATGGACGGGGAGAGTAGTTCGTTTGGTTTTGGCAGGAGAACTTGCAGACCAGAGGGAGGCTGGTACGCCCAGGTAGGGGAGTAGACCGCATGGGTCTAAAGGGTACCACGGTGGAGTGTAGCCAAGGGAAAGTCCCGCCTGCTAGGAGTGTAAAGTTCGCCCAGAGTCGCTATTTCATCGATGCCCCAGGGGGGAGAGTGCCCCGGATAACGTCACTCAGTATGGAGAGAGGGACATGTCACTCAAGGAACTATTTTGCAGGGTCCAGGGGATGCACCCGGATGGTCCGAGAGACAGAATATCCTGGAGGGGGCTGTTGACCGCATTCGAGGGGAAATGGGTCAAGTACAGGGGTGCTATATCAAGTAACCCACAGGAAACATACACTTTGGTCAAGATATGGGAGCCCTGCGGGGATATTAATGCCCTTGAGACCC